GGGACACCGGTGGGGAGCAACGGCACACCCCGAAGTGAACGAAGGGCAGAGAAGGGCTGCGCTGGTGCGGGCCATGGATCTGAACATCATGACCTGGATCCTGGAGACTATAAGGATGCACCTGAAGACTAAGGAAGTGCAGAGGGAGTTGGAAGGGAGTGAGTATTAGAGAGAAGGGTGAGAGGCGACTTGGCGGCGGCAGCAGCTGGCGCAGATAGAGGCGCGGCGGAACGAACGCATCAGGGAGGGATGGGCATTCATGGCTGTTGAAGCGGGAGAGATGGGAGCAGCGGAAAGGGAAGTCGGGTCCATAGGCACCAAGGACAGACGGGAAGAAGAAGAGGGCGTCAGTCCCTTGGGAGCGGGAGAAAGCCAAGGAGACGAAGGGGTGCTCTGGGAGATAGGCCCAGGGCTGGGAGCACAGGCAGTCGCAACACTAAAGGAGGTGCTGGCTCAACACAAGGGGACGTTCGCCTTAACCCTGAAGGAGCTAGGGAGATGCACGGTACAAGAGATGCGCATCCAGCGCAGCAGCGAGGTACCGGTGTATCACCGGAAGTGGAGGATGAGCCCGGGGGATATAGAGGCGTGTGCAGTCAAGTGCGCCGGGCTGCTGGAGGCGGAATTGATACAGCGGTCTGAGAGCGAGTGTGCAGCGGCAACGGTAGTGGCCTCACGGATGGATATCACTGGGGACGTATTAGCGAAGCTCATGTGTGGAGACTACGGTGGGTTGAACAAAGTGACACTGCCCGACCGCGACCGCTACCCCATGCAGTCAGCGGAAGAAATATTCGACAAGCTGCAAGGGGCCAACGTCTTCTCCACGCTCGATCTCAGGCAGGGGTTCAACCAGATACCTATCAAGGCGGAGGACTGCAGAAAGACGGCGTTCCACGGCCCCGACGGGCTGTACGAGTGGAAAGTGATGCCATTCGGCACGCGGAACGCGCCAGCCGTGTTTCAACGCACGATGGACAGCGTGCTACGGAAAGTGCCCACGGCGGCATGCTATATTGATGACGTCATCATCTTCAGCGCCAAGGAGGAAAAGCACGTGAAGGTCGCCACCGTGCCCGACCACGACCGCTACCCCATGCAATCAGCGGAAGAAATATTGTGTTGAGCCAGCTCTGGAGACCCTGAAGCAAGCGGTGAAGAGTGCCACTGTACTCACGTTACCCAGCAAGGAGGACCCATTCATGCCGTATACCGACTGGAGTAGCTCGGGAATGGGAGCAATCCTGTGCCAGGAGCAAAATGGAGAGGAGAGGGTGGTAGCCTTTGCGAGTCGGAGCAACAACCCCGCGGAGGTGAAGTACAGCTCATACGAAGGGGAAGGATTGGCGGCAGTGTGGGCGATAACTCACTTCAGGGTATACCTGCAAGGGCGGCCGTTTACCGTGGTCACAGACCACCAGCCGCTTACCTGGCTCTCACAGGCATGAATGCGAGATGGGCGATGCGACTGCAAGAATATGACTTCACCATTCAGCACAGACCCGGCAAGACCATGCAGCACGTTGCCAGCAGCATGCCTAGTAGCTTTGGCCAGAGAGATCGATCGGGAGGGAGCCAAAAAGGGGAAGGAGAGGGGGCCAGAGGACGAGTGGGCCATGTGGGCAGACAGGGAAGTACTAGAGTGGTTGCAAGGCAAGACGGGGGAAGAAGGAACGGTCGCCGAGCAAGTGTGAGCTTGAGGAGTGCACTATCGGTGGTACCAAGATCAGCTGCAAGTAAATACAAAGGACGGGTGGAAGGTAGTGCCCGAACCGACGCAAAGGGAGGATATAGCAAGAGTGCACCGGCAGCTGGGGCACTATGGAGAGCTGAGGACACAGCAACTGGTGGGGATGACCTGGTGGTGGGCCGGAATGCGTAAACAGATCAAGGAATGGGTACAGGGCTGCGAGCTGTGCAGCAGGAACCGAGCAGAGCTAGACAGGGGAAGGAGGGAACTGCAGTCGTTGCCGATCCAGGGGCTGGGGTTCCGCTGGTCCTTGGACCTGGCAAGAGAAATGCGGCTGAGTCGCCAAGGCAAGCGATACATCCTTATTATGATCGAGCACGGGAGCAAGTGGGTGGAAGTGAAGGCGCTGCCGATCAAGAACTCAGCCAGGATCACGGAAGCATTCGAGGAGCAGGTGCTAACGAGGTTCGGGGCTTGCGGGGAAGTGCTAACAGACCAGGGCACTGATTTTCAAGGTGAGTTTGACCAGCTCCTATAGGAGACCGGCATCACCCGTCGGCGGACGTCGCGATACCATCCGCAGAGCGACGGCCTGACAGAGAGATTCGTGCAGACCATCAAGAAGGGGCTGAGGGTCTATGGGGAACAGTATACGAGGGACTAGGATCTGAGGCTGCCATGGGTGGCGGCGTTATATCGCTTCAGTAAGCAAGCGGCGCAGAAGGACCTGTTGCTGTACTACCTACTGCTGGGCCGAGAGCCGATTTTGCTGATAGATGCGTCCAAGCTACTGAGCGACACTGTCATCGCAGGGTCGGAAGAGAAGTGGGTGGCAGTAGCGGAGGCGCGGGCCAAATATTTGAGGGAACTGCTGCCAGCGGTGTTAGAGAACCTCCACGTGGCTCAGCTCAGGGACGTCCAGAGGTACAGGCAGAGGGGAGCGGGGAAGGGAGAATAGGGGAACCGAGCGATTTGGGAGGGGGGAGAAGTGTACTTGAAGCAAGCCAGGAAAGACCTGCTAAACATTGGCTTGGCGACGGCTAGGTGGAGAGTGAAGGAGGTGAAAGACTCCGTAGTGATCGTGCTCGTGAGTGAGAAGGGAGAAGAGAGGAGGGACCACATCACCAATGTGGCGGCAGCCAGACCAAAGAGGAACACGGGAACCTGAGGAGGGCAACCACCGGAAGCAGATATGGCAGGGCTACATCTGGAGGTCCATCGGCTTCACAGCGGACAAGAAGCCGAGGAGGGGGCAAGTGAGGAGGCAGAGGGAGAGGCCCTAGAAAGCTATACCAGTGCTCGGCAAGTGAGCCAGAGGGGAGGGGAAGGAAAGAGACACGAGAGAAGCTGGAAGCTTCCGACAGCTGTCATGCACTTAATAAGGCAAAACTGAGAATAGGAAGATGCCTGAGTAGCCATATATAATTGCATTACAGAATATAGTAGTGTAGGAAGAGATGCAGGAATAATAACAAGGCCAGACAACGGCCCAACCGCCAAGGTGGCGGTAGACCGAGGCAAGCGGGAATACTGTAGCCAGAAGGCGATGGGTGGCTAAGCAACGGTAAGTGTAGCACTACTTAGGAGAACCGTAGGCGTAGTCAGCCTGCTTGCTTGTTTGTTTTCTCACTGTAGTTGATGATTCCTTCCGAAGCATTAGCTACCGAGGAGCCAGTTCAAGAAGGCAGTCAGTCGAGCATTGGAGACGAACCTCTGAAACCCTAACTAGAAACTCTAGTGAGGAGACAGAGGGAGAGGCTCTAGAAAGCTGTACCAGTCCTCAGCAAGTGAGCCAGAGGGGAGGGGAAGGAAAGAGACACGAGAGAAGCTGGAAGCTTCCAACAGACTGCACAGTTTTCCTTCACCCTAGACTCTGGAGCGACCAGCTGCTTCTTTCGCGACTGTACTGACCTCACACCACTGCGCACTCCAGTCACTGTCGCCTTGGTTGACCCCTTTGTGGGACCTGTACTTGCCCATAGCACCACCACTCTCCCGTGTCCGGCGGCTCCCTCTGGGTTTTTCACAGGTTACTACACCCTCAGGTTCTCGAGGAACCTGGTGGGTGTCAGTCACCTCCACAACCTAGGAGTAGTCATTACTTTCCCACTATACAAGCATGTTGCCTCCTGCACAGTCGGTGCCGCTGGGGCGCCTCTGGCCACATTCCATAGGGAACCGGGCTCTGGTCTGTACTCACTACACACTGGGTCCCACCACACTAAGTCAGGTCAAGTCAGGTCATGTCAGGTAGCTGCTGTGTCGTGCGAGTGTCGGTCACACACCCACCCGTTGGTCCTCTAACACCACCATCTAGGTCACCCGTCGTTCCCACGTCTCAGTAGGATGGTACGCCACCGTCTGGTCTCAGGTCTCCCACAATCGCTTGCCCCGCTTCCTCGCTCGCCTGCGCCGCCGTGCAGTCCTTGCGTCGAGGTTCGGCAGCGCACTGCCCCTCACTCCTCCCCGTTCAACCCCACCACGGCTCCCTTCTAGACCCTGCACTTGAACGTCGGGGGCCCCTCCACGGTCCTTGGCCCACGTCAAGAGCACTACTTCCTGATTGTGGTGGACGACTACTCCCGCTACACCATGCTCTTTCCCTTGCGACGGAAGGCCGAGGTGCCTACCGTCCTCGAGCCGTGGCTACTAGCGAGGGGTGGCGCCCAGGCCATTTGTGGGCTCCGTCTGCACTCGGACCATGGTGGTGAGTATTCGTCCACTCACCTAGAGACGTTCTGTCAGGGTCGAGGGATCCTCCAGCAGAACAGGGTAGCCGAGCGACGCATCGGCCTGGTCATGGAGGTTGCCCAGATCTCCATGTGCCATGCCGGTGCCCCCGAGTTCCTGTGGCCTCAGGCAGTCCGCTCCGCCACGCACCAACTGAACCTGTGGCCCAGTGACGCACGGCCACGGGTGACTCCGGTTTCCCTTCGGACAGGTTCTCCGGGCGTAGCAGCTGACATCCGCGTCTAGGGTTCTCTAGCTCATGTTCGTGCCCCTGGCGCGAACAAGTTGTCTCCGCGCACTCGTGCCTGTGTCTTTCTTGGCTTTTATTTGGACATGGTTGGCTGGGTGTTCTACGACCCACTCACCTACAAGTTATTCAGTTCCCAGAACGTCACGTTCGACGAGTCTGTCTGTTACAACGGGACTCGCCCCCACCGAGGTACTGAGGTCTTTTCCCCCCCGCTGTTCCTCACCCTTGATCTCCCCCCAGTCGCCCCGGTAGCCCCCCCCCCCTCTCTTTGCATCCTGCCACGTCAGGTGTGTCGCACGTCAATCCGTAGTCTTTCCCCCCGCGCAGCGTCTAGTCCTTGTCGTGTCCGGGGGTGCGGGAAGTGCAGTTGCGGAGGGTGAGGGTGCTGGGGCTGCTGGAGCAGGTGGTGTCGGTTCTGGGGGTGCAGGGGGTGTTGGCGTGGAGGTCACTCCCGTGGAGGACACGGCAGCCTCGACTCGGCAACGTCGCCCCGCGTCACCCCCTGGCTTTCCGTCCATCCCACAGTTCCCTCCTCGTTCTTCTCTGCGGACGGTTGCTGCGGAGCCTGGGGGTGTTCCTGCGGGAGGTACTGGAGGACCTGGGGGTGTCGGTGGTGGAGGTGCTGGTTCTGGGGGTGCTGGAGCTGGAGGCACTAGCAATATGGCGCCTACACTGTGCACTGTACGTTTCCTGACCTGTGAGCAGCGTCTCCTCCGGTTGGAGAGGGAGGAGCGTGAGTGGTTTGAGAGGGCACAGTAGCAGTAGCAGTAGCAGCAGTCTCAGTCGGAGCGTCAGGAGAGAGTAGAGGAGGAGACATGACAGCAGCAGCAGTAGCAGCAGCAGCAGCAATCCCAGTCAGAGCGTTAGGAGAGAGTAGAGGAGGATTCACACCCATATCAGGAAAGAGTAGAGGAGGAGTCACGGCAGCAGCAGCAGCAGCCTCAGTCGGAGCGTCAGGAGAGAGTAGAGGAGGAGTCACGATTGCCGCTGCAGGTGCAGTTGCAGCCACAGCAGGAAAGGGTAGAGCAGGAGTCCCGGCCGCAGCAGCAGGTGTTGTTGCAGCCACAGCAGGAGAGAGCAGAGGAGGAGCCTTAGGAGCAGCAGCAAGGGCAGGTGCCACCGCAGCAGACGCGAGAGGAGGCGGAGCAGCACCAGAAGCAGCAGAAGCAGCAAGAGCAGGAGCAAGAGCAGTCTTAGTCGCAGCGACAGGAGAGAGTAGCGGAGGAGCCACAGCAGCAGCACGAGAGAGCAGAGGACGGGTCACGACTACAGCAGCAGGTGCAGTTGCAGCCGCAGCAGGAGAGAGTAAAGGAGGAGTCACAAGTGCAGCAGCGGGTGCAGTTGCAGTCGCGGCAAAAGAGAGTAGAGGAGGAGTCACGGCCACACCAGGAGAGTGTCAAACTATAATCGTTATAGTTTGTATTGTTTAGTCTAGATGGTGTACACCTTGGTTAGTGCTAGGGTTAGGTTTGCTATATCTACCCTTGTACTTGCTCATTCTAGTCATTCATTCTAACATTCTGACAAAGAGGGTAGAGCATGAGTCCCGCCCGCAGCAGCAGGTGCAGTTACAGATACAGCAGGAGAGAGTAGAGGAGTCACGGCCGCAGCGGGAGAGGGTAGCGTAGGAGTCCCAGTCGCAACAGTGGGTGCAGCTGCAGCTGCAGCAGGAGAGGGCAGAGGAGGAACTACAGGAGCAGCAGCAGGGGCAGGTACCATCGCAGTAGGCGCCAAAGGAGGCGGAGCAGCAGCGACTGCAACTGCGCGACTTGCCCGACCCAGCACCTGCATGCTTGGTTCGTGGTCCCCTACCGTCCCCTCCTGTTCCCCCTGTCCAGTCCCTTTCCTCGTCTCAGTGGACTCGTCGTTCTCCCCTCAGTCGTGCTGTGTCTCCAGAGCTCCGTTGGTCTCATTACCGTGCAGACGACTCGTTTCACCTTGTTCTCCGCTCTACCTCCGTGTTCCCGTCCTGTCGTCTCTCGTGTTTTGTCCACATTGGTCACTCACCCGACTGCACCTCCATCGTTTGTTTCAACACTTGTTACCACTGTCGCTGGCTTTGCCTCTTCCCACCGTCTTGACTACGCCGCTCATATGGTGAGTGGCCATGCTCGTTCTCCGTTCTCTGGGGTGCTCCTGTCTTTTTCCTGGAGGTCCTCCAAGACAGGCTGTTCGAGCTTGGTTTCCTTGCGGCCGTTGTTCCTCATCTATGCGCCATGCTGCCTGCCCCTAAGGGGGATCCAGGCGCTCCTAACATCCCGATCCCTTGCACACACGCTGAGGCGGTCTTGGGACCTTGGGCCTCGTACTAGATAGCAGCTGAGGAAGAAGAGATGGCATCTTATAGGTCCACAGTCACCTACGTCGACGCCGTTCCGCCACCTGGGGCAAACGTTGTCAGTGGCATGTGGCTCTACAAGGTGAAGTGGCCGCCTGGATCACCACCCGTATTCAAGGCGCGCTACGTGGCAAGAGGCATCAGTTAGCGAGAGGGAGTAAACTTCTTCTAGACCTTCGCTCCCACCCCCAAGATGACCACTCTTCGGGTGTTGCTGCATATAGCAGCTCAGCGCGACTACGAGTTGCACTCCTTGGACTTCTCCACAGCGCTCCTACACGGGAGCATGCACGAGCAGATCTGGTTGCGTCGTCCGTCTGGCTTCGCTGGCTCTTTCCTTCCTGGGACCCTGTGACAGCTGCGTTGATCGGTCTACGGCCTGCGCCAGGCTCCACATGAGTGGCACGACACGGTACGTACGACTCTTGCAGCGCTTGACTTCTTTCCGCCGTCTGCCGACCCGTCGCTGTTCGTCCGCCATGGCTCGACCCCGTTCTTTGTTCTGGTCTACGTTGACGACCTGGTCTTCGCCACTCCCGACCGACACGCAATGGCCTCCGTGAAGGAGGAACTGCAGAGTGGACACACTTGCACTGACCTTGGTGAGCTGCAGCGCAACCTTGGCCTGCAGATCACCAGGGACAGGGCAGCTCGCACCATTACGCTGACTCAGTCGCATATGGTCAAGCAGATGCTCACGCGGTTTGGCTTCCCGTTCTCCAAGGTACAGCCCACCCCTCTTGCTGTGCCTCCACCTTTGGACAAGCCATTTGAGTCCAGTGGTCCATATCTTGAGCTGGTGGGTTGTCTCATGTATTTGATGACCTGTACTCGCCCAGACCTAGCTTACCCTCTTAGCGTCCTTGCGCGCTTTGTTGCACCTGGGAGACACCGACCTTCCCACTGGTACACTGCTAAGAGAGTGGCGAAGTATGTGGCAAGTACATCAAGCATGGGACTTGTCTTTAGAGGGAAGCAGTCAGTTACACTTACACGTTTCTCGGACTCGTCGTGGGCCGACAATGCAGAGTCGCTGCGGTCTACACAGGGTTACTGCTTTAGCCTTGGGACCGGAGCTGTTTCTTGGAGGTCGACTCGGGCGTCGTCCGTCTCTAGTTCCACCTGTGAGGCAGAGGTGTACGCTGCGGCCATGGCCACCCTGGAGCTTCGCTGGCTGTCTTTCCTCCTCACCAACCTTGGTGAGCGGCCTCACTCTCCCCTAGTCTTGTTCGCCGACAACAGGTCTGCTATCCTGTTGTGCGAGGAGCCCCAACTGGTTGGGAAGGCGAAGCACATCCAGCTTCGTTACTTCCTTCAGCGTGAGTTCCAGCAGCGTGGCCAAGCACTCGTGCGACGTGTGGTCTCTGAGGCCAACACTGCAGACATCTTCACCAAGGCGTTGCTGCCTTGTGACCACTAGCGTTTCTGCACCCAGCTTGGCCTTGTGTCTACATGCCCTCACTTGCTTGCGTAGAGATGCTTTGTCTTGTTCTCTTGCATCTCACTAGATATTCTATATCTGTGTTTGTGGACATGCCTTGTGGCCCCTTGCTTCTGTAGAGATACTTGTTATACATGTCTTGAACTCTTGCATCTTCTATATTTGCTTTGTCATTGCATGTAAACTGGCCTTGTGGCCTCTTGTTTGTTCTTGAAATGCGTGGTGATCTTGAGATTCACCCCGAGCTTTGTTTTGTTCTTCTGAACTGGTCTTGTGACCATTGTTTGCTCTTGCTGACTGGTCCTGTGACCCTTGCTCTTAGACTGTGTGTTGTTTTCCACAGGACTACCATCACCTAGACTATGGGGGTGTGTCAAACTATTTTTTTTAGGGCTTGTATTTGCTAGTCTAGGTGGTGTACACTTATGTTTAGTGTTGGCTAGGGTTTATCAGGGTTTGCTATATCTTCCTTGTCTTTGTCATTTCTATTCATTCATTATTCCGTTACCTCATTGACAGGGGGTTGACACAAACTCTAGGAATGATCGTAGCTTTGCCTAGTTCCTTAGCACTTGCGCATTCACGGGAGAAATCGGCAAGAGTTCTCACTAGCAAAGTTGGAATTACAGAATGATGGAAATTGCAATGACAAGAATGACTACATCAAGCACCTAGCAACTATGCAGCTAGCCTGGTCGACCGCTAGCACAGCATGGTCGACCACCTGCCAGCGTTGCATAGAGGAACTGCGCCAGCACTGCAAAAACGTGGCCTGCCAATACAGCATGTCGACTTCGTGCCAACGCTGCAGCAAGGCGGCTGTCCAGCGTTGCACTCGTAGAAGACAGCCGTGCGCACGTCCGCAGGTGCGCTCAGACGATTGGCCCGACTTGCATCGTCGTGCATCCGATGGCTGTTGTCGGCGCCAAAAAAGCCACATCGACTTTGGGATACCAGCCCAAAGTTGCGTTTGTCAGCGCGATCTCGACAACGTTTGCGTGCCTCCGCAGACCTCGCCGAGCAGGTAACCTGGTCGACCTGGTCGACCACCAAATGTGCGCCCTGGTTGACGGGCCCCTCGTCGACCACAGCGTTTGTTAAACTGCCCCTCCTGGTCGACAGCCCGTCCGTCGACGAGCCCAGTCAGCTGCAGCCACCGAGCTCCCCTGGCGATGGCTCCAGCCGCGCGACAGGCCTGTGCAGGTCGACGACCACCTCGTCGACCTGCCCCGCAAAAGAAGGCCGTCGAGCTCCTCTGGTCTACGGCAACACCGCAGCGATCCCCTGCAGCTCGACAAATCTTGTGGAGCAGCTTCCTCACTGCATACGGTCGGTTGCTTCTCCTGTGTATCCGACCAGGACGTCAGCGTCGCCCAAGCGAGGGCGGGGCCAACACTCCATTCCCGTTAACAGTTGCAACATTTGCAACCCATGCTAAAAACTTCTAGCCACCCCAGTCCAAAAGTCAAAGTTGCCTTCCTAACCACCCAACAAAAGATCCCATTTATAGTGATGACTCAATAATCGCCCAATTAAGGTAATATCCCAAGTCAAGCTATAACTCCAATTAGTTCCCAAATCTTGGAAATCTTGTAACTTGAGCGATCTTGGTCGGAATAAGACGATCTTGGTATCGTTGGAAATCTCTGGATTTCTCCTGCACGATAAAGCATTTAGACTTGGAGGAAAACACAGAGGTAATAAATTCAACAGCCATGCATAATGATTTATGCTCATGCAAATGACGCAAGGATGAATTGCACGAGCACACGGCAGGACGTTAGGATAACATGCACTTATACTGACGTGCATACAACATTTCCCGACAGGAAGTTGTGCACCAACTTCATTAGCTTCGTCCATATCTCCTTAGGTGGGGGATCAACTTGCGCCTAATAAGCAATCTGCGGTGTGATGTAGCAGTTCATAAATACATCCCTGGCCGCGATCGTGAGGAAAAGCGCCTTCCATTCAATCAGCTCCACCGTTATTTTCTCACAGGCTCGCTTCTAGGTTGGCGCACTGCTTCCCGAGGAAGTGACCCAAACGCCCAGAAGTCACTCAACTTCCTCCACTCTTGCCCACTTGAAGCCTCCAAGTGTCCCGGGTCGCCGAC